ACAAGGGTGGCAGCATATTTTTACTTTGCAAATGATCAATACATTTGAGATTGTGAGGGGGATGAAAGTACACACAGTTCAGGCCCTATCTTGCAGTCTGATGGGGAACATGAAGCATGCTGGGTGACCTTGGGAAGTACCTCAGCTTTCTCTTCTGCAGAAGGGTGATAATAATGATGTTCCTTATGAGACTGTTGTGAAGATAATCATGTAAAAACATGTCAAAGGGTTTGAAATACTGCCAGGCACAGAGTGCACCCTATTGCTATTATGATGTTGGTAACGTTGGCGTGTAACTGTGCAGGTGATGACTTGGGGAGGCCATAGTGAGGAGAAAAGACCAAGGAGAGAGACAACCTGCCTACATGTTGGTGTCTATGGATATGCCTGCAAAACATCAGCATAATATTCATACAGCTTCCCCTGGAGCTGCTTAACCTGTTTAGGATGCAGGCTTCGGGCAGCGGTCAAGCACACCTCCTTTTGAACATTCTACTGGGGGTCGGGGGATCAGAACCTACAAGGAGGCAAAGCCACGTATTTTCTTTCCTGAAACTGAAGCGTTCATTCCGTCCTTTTTTTTTTTTTTCTGTAAAGAAAAGGCTTTTTCTAGTCATTGCTAGATATGAAATCTTGCTCTTCAAAGAGCTGAGAACAGTTTTTCGTTGCAACAGTATACTGTGCAATTATGATGAAAAGGCCGGAGGCCTCTCCATCCTTCTCCACCTTTCCCTTATTGGCTCCGAATGCAGCGTATTTGTTTCCTTCCCACTCCAACGCGGTTCTGGTTTGATGGACAATCTCCTTCCTCGCGGACCTCCTTTACCCCTTATTCATAGCCAACCCCGATCCCCACCACCACCCCGCATCCTTTGACCCCAACCCTCCCCACTCCCAGCCCCGAGGGAATTGCATATTTCAGTGGGCGTCAGGGGACCCCCGCCGGGTCAGTGTGGAACTCACCGAGGGCAGCTGGGGAACCTAGCGCGGCCTGGGCCTCGGTCTGGCCTGAGCAAGCAAGCTGGATAGCTCCTGCGTCACGCCCTCCGCATCTTAGCTCCGCCCCGGCCCCTCCTCCAGCAGGTGGCAGTGGCCTCCGGGTAGCTCCCTAAACGCATCCCAGGGGCTGGCGCCTCTCTGGCCTGGAGCTGCAGCAAGGCCAGGGGGTCTGCCTACTCTGAAAGCGCCTGCAGACCCTCTTCCTCCCTCGACCCGGGCGGAGGTCTTTCACCTCCTTTCTCTTCTCAAGCAGTTATCTAAACAACSTGCCTGACGGCCACTGTTCAGCATATCTTTAATTTTGTCCCGCAAACAGAATAGCTTTTTTAGTTTTTGTTTTTAATTAAGTCCTAGCTTAAAGAGGGAAGAGGCAGTGGTAGACATGACAAAGGACGATCCTAAGGATTTTTTAGACTGGCAACGATAAAATATATACTGCTTTCAGAAGTCCTTTTACTTGAGCAGTAAAACCGTGAAGATATTTAACATAAGACGCTAGAAACTTCTGTTAAAGTGGCACACTTGGAAAGTCTAAAAGTATTAGCTATGTTTTTTTTTTTTTTTAAATCACCCTTTATGCTACATTTTTTAAAACAGTATACATTTACCCATAAAGCTGTACATTCTTCCTTATGAAAATACTACTATATTGTCTTTTGTGTCAGAATAGTTTACAAACCCACTATTCTTTATTTTTACTTAATGGGAGAGACAGACTTGCTCAAGAGTCCTGTCCTGGGAGTTTGTTGTTTTAAAAGCAAACATCAAAACCAAGAGGAGAAAGGAARACTTAAGCATAAGAGCAGGGGTCTGCTTCTAAAATGGCAGGGGCCAGTTTGGAGACAAGATGAACAAAGTTGGGTGTGATGACCCACGTGTGTAATCCCAACCACTCAGGAAGCTGAGGCAGGACTGCAAGTTCGAGGCCAATCTTAGCAACTTGATGAGACCCCATCTCAAAATAAAAAAATGAAAAGAGTTGGTTCAGTGGTTAGGCACCCCTGGGTTCAATCTTTGGTACCAAAAAAAAAAAAAAAAAAAAAAGAAGTATGAATACAACATGCACTGATTCAATCTATGGCCCAGAAAATCATTCTTGAGTCTTTGCGCCCAGGGTTAACTTTAAAGCAATTAACATGGGAAATGGGATCTGGGAAGGTAGCTCCAAAGGTGGAGTTCAAAAAGAAGCAGAACTAGCAGGAATGGGTATAAAAAGTGTTTGGCAAAAAGCACCTTTTGGTCCAATTTGAGTCAAGAAATCCAAGAAAGGCCACTGGCTGGAGGGGAACTTGGAGGTAAAGGAATAAGGTGGAGTTGGGGATTCCYGAGGAGCAACAGGAGGATACCCAGGTTGATCAGATATTCTACCTGCTTAAAGGTGATTTGGTCTGGGAAACTTGAGGCCTTCTGAGGACCCCTCATCAAAGTCTGAGAAAAATGAAGGAAATGGATTTCTTCCGTTTCTCTCCAACCTAGAACAGTATTAAGATAAAGACAAATGTATGTCTAGGGCAACCTCCCATAGGAGCTCAGCACCAAGGAGAAAAAAGTGCTCAAGATTTGGCATTTAGTGCCAGCCCCAAAAAACCCAAGTAACATGTAGAACAGGATTACCTGCAAAACCCATCAACCAGCCAGCCATAATCCTGAGAGCTCATCAGGGCAGCAGGAGGTTCTGAGACCCTGTATTCTGAGTTCTATTTCTAAACTCCCTCACCAAGGAAAAACTACACTCTGCAGAAATAAACACAAATAGCTCCAGAATTTATGTTTTGTGGTTCTGGGAATCAAACCCAGGGGCTTGTGGAATTTCTAATCTTTAAGGAATTAATTTTTGAGTAGGGATGCCATGAGGTCCTGAGCTTCCTTCACAGTATCCAAAAGAGAGAGAGAGGGAGAGAGAAAGTACCTAGGGTTTTGAGAATAACTAARTTAACCTGATGAGATTAGAATCTACATCTCTTTACCTTAGCTTTATGCAGCAAACCCATTATCTATAGTATTTCTCTGCAGCAGGACTAGAAAAAGTCATTCATGAGACACATGGCCTTTGGTCTTAAGGCCTAGCCTCCTTCYTAATGTTTTCTCTTCCTTGACTACTTTTCTGTTGGTTTTAGGCTCAAAGACCATTATGTTTTTTTTTTTTATATTTATTTTTTTGGTACCAAGGATTTGACCCAGGGATACTTTATCATTGAGCCACATCCCCAGCCCTTCTCTAAAATTTTGAGATAGGGTCTCATTAAGTTGCTGAGACTGACTTTGAACTTGCGATCCTCCTGCCCCAGCCCCGCAAGTCACTGGGATTACAGGCATGCACCACCATGCCTGGYGTGGTTTTAAATGTTTATGATCGATGTAACTGAGTTCTTTAARTCCTGAATTCTATTTTAGTATTGTTCACTGTTAATGCCATGAAGTTAACATTATCTCGTTCTATGTAAGAAAAAGACATTAATTCAACTCTAAACTCTTTTTAGATTTTCTCCAATTATTGTTTCCAAGCTATTGATTTCCATACTCTCACATATTGTATTGCAGCTTTTAGCTAACAAAAATAGGAGTGGGTATTTAAAATAATGAACRTCTTTCATTACTGACATCTTTTAGAAAAGCCAGTAATTCAGGTGATTTGTACAGTTAACATCCCATGCCTTCTTACTGCATTAGTGTTACAATTCAACATTTTACCCCTCTTCCCCACAGTTACAAAATGACATCAAAAACTTTAGAAGTGAAAACTGCTTTAAGTCAGACAACATAAATCTCAATGTAAGAATGCTTTCTGCCTCTACTTACTATTAGAAATATAGGCTGAGCATCCCTAATCCAATCCAAAATCTGTAATGCTCTGAAATCATTAGTGTTTTGAACACTGACATGAGGATCAAAGTTTCAGATTATAGATAAAAAGAAAAAAAAAATCTGGAGGTGTCGCTCAGTGGTAGAATGCATTCGGAACATACCCAAGACCCTGGTTTGATCCACAACATCCTAAAAAGTATCTCAAATTTTACATTAGGAATGTTCCACCAATGAAGTCTATGTAAATATTTCAAAATCTGAAACATTTCTGGTCCCAGTTTAATTAAGGTATCCTCAACCTGTACCATAAACATCTAAAATGTATATATAGTCTATATTACAAACTTGTTTTGATATCAGATAAAYGTGCATAACTACAGATTAGTTTTGAGAAATGATTAATTTTGAGGTTATAAATATAGAAAAGGGGACAAAAGCTTTAAAATAAATTTAGACAGATATGCTTGACAATTTGATTCAAGATATGGCACTTTGGATTCCACTTTGGATTTGAGTCTCAGGCAAGTCATTTTGCAGAAAGTTATCTTTAATATCTATGCTAAATAAATAACATTTATACACAAGATAAAACCATCATAAGTTTTATCCAAATAAAATTTACAGAGGTGYATCTACTATTCAAATTCTAAAATCCAGCATCTGCAATATTTTAAAAAYCATCTTGATTAAATTTTCAAGTTCAATTATTCCTCCTTAAATAATTTCCAATTCTATATTGGACAAAACAGATACAAATGCATTTGTGCAAATTACTTTTAGAAACAGAGTATGGCCTAAAAATAATGTGTGAGCACAGTTTAGTCATCATTCTGCTTTAGCCATCATTGAACACAACTATACATTTACAGGAGATACATAAACCAGATGAATCTGCCCCAAAATAGGAATAAAGTATCAAGATACCAGAGTGAAGTAAATGGATTTCCAGGAATTTAGGTAAAGACAATAACCATAAATATAATTCAAGACAAAAGATTTGTGGGGCTTACCCCTTCCCTTTCCATAGTACAGATTTTTTTTTAATAGAAACCTTATCTGACTTGAAGGAATAACAAAAAAATAGACACAACTTGTTTCACTCTTCCCATCACACATACAAAATAAAAATCATGCCATTTTCAAAAATTAATTTTTTCTAAATCCAAGCAACAATGTTTTTAAAACAGTAAGTTTCAAAGAGATCACAACAAAATTAAAGTTTAAATACTGCTACAATTAAGAAAAACATAGTAGTCACATGTACAAGTATAAAAATCCAAGTTGTTATGCTGTGAAATTAAAATGTTTGAGAAAACCTACTGCTTAACAATACAAACTAATATGTGGATTATCCTACAAGTCACATAATCAATTGCTAATTTTATTTACATTAATGTCAAGTATAACATTTGCCTATTACAAATCTACAGGTTTACTTGTTGGTAGTAGTTGAGTCTTTCCAATAGGATTTTTTGGAGAACCTTTGTACCAGACCCTTTCTYTTTCTGATTGTTTCCTAAGGACCTTATTTTTTATCTCAGGAGAAAAACCCACATTGTTATTTACAACAGATTTTAATATATTATGATTAGTCAGGTCATCAAAGGGAACCTTAATTTGGCCATCCGATATCACCTCCTGCTTGCAAACTCTAGTAGACCCAAGAGAAGCATTCACAGAACCTGGGTGCCTCTTCTTCTTTAAGGAAGATGTAGAGGTTAACTCCACGCTTGATTTTGAAATTTCACCAATGACAGACTGTTCATGCGATGTAGACCTCTGATCTTTAGGAACTGACTTCATATGTGAAATAGAGGAATCTTTTGACGTACTTTCTGTACAAGAGGGAAGAGCACTGTCACAGCTCACTGATTTAACCAGGGGAGAAGCAACATCACCAAGACTTGCCAACTTCTGCTGTTTAGGTTGTCTGTTATATTCCAACAAAGAATTAATTCTTCTGACAGACTGACGGACTGGAGTGCGCTGAAACTTAAGAGGTGACTTCACTTTTATTTTACTTGGTTCATTTAAAGAAAGTTTATTAAACCAYTGTATGTGATCTGAAACTTTTCCATGCTCTGTCATTTGTAAACTTTCAGAAACCGTTTTATCACATTTTTCTACAAGTGATCGTTGTTTAGCAATTCTCATAGGCCTGGGTTTAGAAAGGGCTGTTATATGACAAGTACTCTGCGGTGAGAAAGAGGACTTATCCTCTTCTTCCCTAGAAGCTGTACATTTCACTAAGCTCTCTTTGATCATGTTCTCATTCTCCTTTGATTTAGTATTTAGTTTATTTTGTGGGAAACACTGCTTCTTAATTTGTTCATCATTGGGGAATTTTTGCTCATTTAAGTAATCTTTTGAATGAATGTCTTTTTCATGTTCTACCTTTATCTCTGTTGAGTAACATTTTACAGATGCTTCCCTACCAAATTTTTGAGTTTGATATGGTGAGAGGTCTATTTCTGAAAAACAATTTTCGTCTTTACCAGTGTGGTTTTCATACTTTTCTACTGATTCTCTCACAGTCAAATCATTAGTTTTAAATAGATTTTTCTTTGGACTATACTGTATATCAGATGTTTCACTTAATTTTTCTTTCCCCTCATTAGTAACTGATGACTGCCTATGATTTATCAATTCATGAAGATTACTTCCAGACTCAGAAAATGCTTTCTGAATCTTCACCAGAGTCTCTGAGGTCAAGTTATTTTCATCCCCACTAAGGGARCTTCCGATTACACTGCTGTTAGGCTTGCTGTGTAAAGTGGAAGGGCTAAGTTCACATGATGTAGCAGGTGACTTCTCAACAGTTATATCAGGTTCCAAAGAAAAGTTTCCCACCTCAAGATTTCCCATTATTGGAGAAGCTTCATTTGCATCCATTTCTTGAAAACTTGAATTACTAGGTCCTGTCCAAGACATCCGGTAACTTGTTTCATTTAGTCGCTCAGGAGTTAATAAGTTTTCCTCAGACTTACTGATCTTTTTTGAACCTAAAATAAAGCAGTTAAGTGCTTTTAATCCATTATATCTGATCTAGTTTTGAAATATTACCCAAATGCCTGGCAAATAAATGTATTAAGCATTTACTTCTAAACACCTGTGTTAAAAGAAATAATTTTTACTATAAAAAGTAAAATATTTTGATATTTACACTTATAAGTATCCTTTAGTTACTGTTAGAAAAATCCAGTACAAGTCAAATATTTTCACTATTCAAACATAAACTTTTAATTTCTAGATTAGCATATTGCTTAATATAGCTTTACATTAAAAAGATAACTAAAACAGGATTTTGTGGTAAAATTCTAACAATATCATGTAAATGTACCTTTCTTTGGTAATCTTTCATCTATATCTGGGCTAAAAAGTAGGCCTGTTTTTACAGATTCAATCCTATTTTCTAAATTTTGTTGATTTGCAAGTCTCCGACCAACATTTTCATATCTATTGACACCAGAACATCCATTCTGTACAGAAAAGAAAAATTGAAATTTTTGGTTAAAAAGTAAACCCTAGTTAATTCAAACAATTATGACAGAGTACATTTTTTAGTAGGTATCAAAATCTACAGCTGAATAAAAAAGACATAATTGGGGAAATTTATAGCAAACACAAATATTCTTGTCTGCTAATGGAAACTGCACACACCAATTGGTATTAAATGATATAAAATAAAAACAGTGTCCCATACTTACTAATTAAAACCAAATTCTATGCTGTCTCTAGGCCTGCTCATAAATAGTGAAAATAAATAAACAAAAAGATCAAAATATTAATATCATGAAATTTATATTGTAGATTAGGAGATTGAATCAAAACAAGAGAAACAATAAATTATCTGTATAAATACAACACACAAGGTAAAAACTGCTATGGAGGATAGTAAAACAGTATAGAGGATATAGCATGGTAAAGGTAGGAGTGTGATTTTTAAATAAGGTGATTTGTGAGTAAAGAAAACTAAGGGCAAGAGCCATGAAGATTTAAGGGGGAAGCCAGGCGCAGCGGTGCACACCTGATATCCCAGCTACTCAGGAAGCTAAGGCAGGAGGATCAATAATTCCAGGCCAGGCTGGGCAATTTAGCAAAATCCTGTCTCAAAATMAAATAAATAAAAAGGACTGGAGATGTACTCCATGGTAGGGTGTAATTGGGTTCAATTCCAGTAATGCCAAAAAAATATATAAATAAATAAAAAATTCAAGGKGTGAGTAAGAATATTTCAGGGAGAAGAAAATGCCAGTGCAGTCTCTGAGGCTAAAGCAAAGTCTGGCACATTCAACAAAAGGCAAGGAGGTCAGTGAATGAAGCAGAGTGAGCAAGGAAGCACTGTCAGGAGCAGAGCTCAGAGACATGTCCAGGGAATAGATCATGTGGAATATTATATAGGTCAATAAAGGAGCTGTGGTTTTTCATCCTTTTTATTTTTATTATTATTCGAATTATTATTTTCATTCTTTTTATTCAGAATGAAATGAAGAGTCAATGGAATGTTCTGAAAAGAGTAACATGACTTAATCTGAGTACTAAAAGAATCATTTGGCAACAATATTGAAGCAAGTTAATCTATTTGTTAAAAGTTGCTTACTGCAGTAATCCAGCTGAGAAAAGTGCACTGAGGAGAATGAATCAGTCTGGAGATGCTCTCAAAGMAGAAGTTAGACAGGCTTTTCTAATGGGCTAGAGGTAGTACAAGAGAGAAAAACTAAGGAATCAAGAATGTGCCATGGTTTTCATCTAAGTGATTAGAATAAGTTGTATAACTGAAATGAGGAAGACTGCAAGTGGAAGTGTGGTATGGGGAGGGTAGAAAAGCAGCAAAGAAACACATCTCAGGAACTATGCTTGGGACAGGTTATACTTCAGGAAAAAATCCAAGTAAGGAATTCAGATAGGCAGATGTTAAGAAATACTTGAGGCCAGAAATCCCAGTGGCTTGGGAGGTTGAGGCAGGAGGATTGTGAATCCAAAGCTAGCCTCAGCAACTTAATGAGGCCCTAAGCAACCTAGCAAGACCCTGTCTCTAAATAAAAACAATAAATTTTAAAAAAGGAGGCTGCAGATGTGACTCAGTGGCTATGTGCCCCTGGGTTCAATCCCTGGTATCCCACGCCAAAAAAATAAATAAAATAAAATAAAAAAAGAAAAATACTTGGCTTAGTACATGCTTAGCCAAGAAAAAGGTCAATTTGCTCAGGAGAGTGTTCTGGGAGAACTTAAACTTGAAAGTCCTAAGTTTAAGGCTAACTGTTTCCTTGAGTGAGTAGATACAGAAAACAAGCCTAAAGACTAAATTTTGGGCATTCTGTTACAAAGTAATTTGAAAAGGCAGGGAARAAGAAAAGAAGAGTATACCAAAGAGGAGCTGCGTCAAATGGTGCTGACAGGTTCAGGTTAAAGAAGAAATTATATTTAATTAATGGTTTAAGCAACACTGAATTTATGGGCAACTTTGGTAAGAGCAGTTTCATGAGATTATTGGGACAAAAGTGTTGCTATAAAGAAGAATAGAGAATGGTATAGTAGATGGAGGGAAAGTAGGGTTGAAAGTAGTCTTTTATTATCAAGCCTTCAGCTTTATGCTAATATAAACAGATTAATGAGATAAGACACTTACTCCATCTCTGCTATTTTTCCCCAGACTAAATTTCAAACGGAGAGATCTTCTAACCTTTTCTTTACGGCTGATTTTAGGAGAGAAGCAGCCTGCTTTTCCTGATTCCACCCTAAAAAAAGTGAAATTTAAAACATCTTTTTATAACATAAATACCAGATATTCTTGCAAAATGAAATTTAAGAAAGTACACAGCAAATTATTATATATATATATATATATATATATATATATATACATACTTTTTTTAATACCTTTTATTTATTTTTACATGGTGTTGAGGACCGAACCCAGGACCTTGCATGTGCTAGGTGAGCGCTCTACTGCTGAGCCACAAGCCCAGCCCCCAAAATTATATTATTAATAAATGAACAGAGTAATAAATTATTATAAACTAGTTAAACTTTAAGATATGATATATGGGGCTGGGGTTGTGACACAGTGGTAGAATGCTTGCCTCGCATGCATGAGACTGGGTTCAATCCTTAGCACCACATAAAAATAAAATAAAGATACTGTGTCCACCTAAAACTAAAAAATAAATATTAAAAAAAAAAGAATACCATAAATGCCCGGTGATCCATGCCTGAAATCCCAGCAGCTCAGGAGACTGAGGCAGGAAGATTGTGAGTTCAAAGCCAGCCTCAACAGCTTGGCAAGGCCCTARGCAACTTAGCAAGACCCTGTCTCAAAGTAAAAAATAAATAAAAAGGGCTGAGGATGTGGTTTGGTGGTTAAGTACCTCTGGGCTCAATCCCTGATGCCAAAAAAAAAAAAGATACATATACACTATTTGCATATATAAATAATGTATTTATCACAAAATTAGTTAGTTGCTTATAAACCAGGATCATTAGACTAGTTTTTTAAACTAACAGGAAAGTTAAAATATTGACATAAAATAAGATTTTTAAGTAAGCAAAATGAACTCAAATTAGGAACTGTATTCCTGGTTAATGTGTGAAGTGCACTTGATTACAAGAAAGAATTATAGAGGGGATTTTTTTTTTTTTTTTTTTACAAATTATGTTTCAAATATGATTCTTGGTAGAATGAAAAAAATATTTGACCAAGAATCATATCTGAATCACATGATATATACTATTACTACTTATGTATAATATATATACACACACACCAAATATCTGTCCAATGAAAACAAAATGTCTTAGATAAATTACCTGCAGACTTTTTTGCCTGCAATCCTTTTACTTCGCCTTAGCACATCTGTGCTGGTCAAATGGTTTCCACTGATGGCTATGGGAGAGAGTGAACTCTGAGATGACACTTCTGGGCTTGCATCAAAGTGAACTATAAAAAATAACCACATGTAATATAACACATATACTATTTCTTTTTCAAAGTATAAAATAGTAAAAGCAGCAATTAGATTTAAAGCCTCGATTTCCTCCTCTAAGCAACAACAAAAATCAAAATTTCTGGTTAGAAACTTCAGATGTAAAATAACTGACCCAACTAAAAGAAAAGTAGGCCAGTTAAAGGTTACACTAACTACAACTTTTACATTAGTTTTGCTTCATACTYTTGATAATACAAGGAAGGGCTGGACAGTGTCATACATTGGAGAGCAAGCTGTGGAAGAGAATTGAGTATCCCCCACCCTGGCCACTTACAAAACAGGTCAACTCTGAAAATAGACTTCTTGGATGAATAGTTATATTACATACACACACATATGTGTATCACACAATGTCCAGTGTAGTCTCTGGTACAAAATATTAATGCTACTATGAAAAATAAATATTGATAAATGTGTTGGTTGTCTGAGTATTCAGAATGCATCTGTTAGCCAATCACTATTTACTGATTCTGGASTAAAATTTGTTCAAAATTTTGTCAAATGAAAACTAAGTTTCTGCCAGGCACAGTGGCACATGCCTGTAATCCCAGTGGCTCAGGAGGCTGAGGCAGGAGGATCACAAATTCAAAGCCAGCCTCAGCAAAAGCAAGGCACTAAGCAATTTAGTGAGACCCTGTCTGTGGCTCAGTGCTCAGGTACCCGAGTTCAATCCCTGCTACCAAACAACAACAACAACAAACATAAAATAAAAATAAACAACAATAACAACAAAAACCCTAATTTTCTATATCAATGCTGATAGTTAACTTTGCCACTGCCTTTTCCTGTGAATAACTGGGTCACAATAGAAACAATTTAATTGAGTTGTTCAACATCATTTATATCATGAAATCAACTAAAGTAAAAAAGAAATTATGAAGAAAGTGAAATAGTTATAAACAAGGGCTCCATAYACATATAACTTATGTCTAAATTATACCCAGTATATACCAGAATTATCTTGTTTGAGGCTGTGGATCCGTGGTGGAGCACTTGCCTAGCACATGTGAGGCACTAGGTTTGATTCTTGGCACCACAGAAAATAATAAATAAAATAAAGTTATTAGAAAAACAAATTCTCTCTATTCATTTTTATTGAATTTTAAAGAGATATTCATGACTTTGGGGTACATTTGGCTAAAGAAAGCTTTGGTTAACATAATACAACCAATTTGCCATAGGTAGCTTTATCCCAGGGCTATAGGCTAGTCATCTTGAAAATGTATCAGTGATTAAAAGGAGGCATGGTCAGAAAATGTAGGATGTAAAATTTATTACACTATAAAAAAATGTTATAAATACATACTCTATGGACTATAGATTAATGCTTATATATAATAAAGCATGTTATCTGCTATATAAATATTTACTTAGAAATCAACCTATTTTCATTCTTTCAGATGGAATTTATTAAATAATGGATGAAAAAATCTGGGTCAAAGAAAAATGGTGAGTTAAAAATAATAGGAACTGTTGTGGAACTTTTTTATATATAAAGAAGTCACTAATTACCCAGGTTCAAATTAACATTAAAAAAACATAAGAATGTTTAAGCTTTTAGGGGGCAGCTTGGAAGAGAAGAAATCACAGGTTCATTCCTTAGGGAAGATATTGTTATGCTAATAAGTAAAGGTAGGTAAAGCTACAATTCCCATCTGCCATTTGTAAAGTCTTCCAAACTGGAAAGACCTAATGTTACTTCCAAGGAATTTAAATCTCTAATCTCTTACTCCTGAAATAACTACAGATGTTAATCATCAGAATTCTTACACTTTCATAAGCCACACAGAACCTCTGAAGAGGGTTTTTCTTCAAAAATCACAAGTTTATTCCCTTTAAGGAAAGCATAAGTCTTTGAATAACAGGAAAAAAACAAAATGACTAATGGCTTTGCCGGAGAAAAGTTCAAAACTCAGCTACTGAATTCCATTTTCTGAAATCAAAAAATATGTAAGATGGGCTTGGGATGTGGCTCAAGCGGTAGCACGCTCGCCTGGCATGCGTGCAGCCCGGGTTCGATCCTCAGCATCACATACAAACAAAGATGTTGTGTCTGCCGAAAAAACTAAAAAAAAATAAATATTAAAATTCTCTCTCTGTCTTAAAAAAAATATGTAAGAAAGGACTCAGATACCACTAATATTTTGATTAAATGAGAGACAAATACAAGATGGGAATGGTAGGGTTTATTTATTTTTTTAATCATAAAGTTAGTATAAGTCAACTTTTATTCTGTACATTCTAAAAGAGCCAATTAAATCTAAGATTACAGTAACAAAAATTTAGTATTCAATAGCTAGGAGAGGACTTTGTTCCAGACACAAAAAAATGGTAAATGTCTGAAATTATGTCAATTGTCCTGATCTAATAATTACACACTTGTGTACATGTACTGAAATATCCATATATTGTGTACATGTTTTGAAACATACCATACCCCCATAAATTACTATTTGTCAATTAAAAATAAACACCTTGAAATGGATATGGAAACCATTCCACAAAGAACATTGTATACAAAGTTTTAAAGCTTTTATAAAAGGTACTTTGGTATAAAAATACCCATCTCCTAAACTATAACCCTAAATAGTAACACCTTGACTCTAGATTCATGATGACCAAACTTCTGACAGTTTCAATTCAACATAAGACAGCAATAAAGCCACAGCCATAGACTATAGACTCAGATGTAACTAAAGCAGGATTTAGAATGTCCAATCACATAAAACCTAAGCACCAATGCTATCCACAGAAGCCCAAACTCTCACTCTGAGTTATTCATTATAACTTGCAATAGAAATGACCATAAAACACATCCACATATTAATTATATTAAATCAGTGTCTATTTTTAAAGGCAGAAAAATTATTTAAAAAAAAATAAACAGAAATTTGATAAAACGTAAAAATAAAATTCAGTCTCCTAAAGGTGTTGTTAACCTGAAATAATTCTTTGCTTAGAATAGACACTTAACGTTAATGTTTACAACTCAATTATATAAATTATATTTGTTACCTGGTACTGGTGTGGAACTGCCATTGAAGAGATTATTTGGCAACAGATCAAAGTTAAAATTGTGTTTGATGGACTTCCTTTTCTTACTTGAGAAACCATGAGAAGAATCTACTGGCAGTTTACGCTTAGCATTTGGTGTAAGAATCACTGGTGATACAGACAGTTGAGCTGAATGAAAATGAACCAAAAAACCAGAGTTGACAAAATACAAAAAACTTTATATAATTTTTCCTTATAAAGCTCTTAGAGTTAACCAAAAAATGTGGGCAGTATAAAATCAATTAAAAAAAATGTGAGAGGTACATTTTCATCAAACATATGTTATATAACTACATTAACACTCTGTAATTACTTAAAATAAAAATAAGGAAGATGCAAAAGAGGTAAGACTCTTAAGAAGCAGTAACTTAAATAGACTTAAAGATGCATGTAACACAAATTAAAGAATATTAACATAAAATAAGAATATTAATAACTAAATTATAGTCAAGACRTTGAGACAAAAACTGATCTATTGTATTTGCTTTTCATTATAACTGAGATTAACCAGTTCATTTCTTCACTCTGGAAAACAGAAAATACCATATTGTCTGTTATCAGCTCAATACTTTTAGACACAAGCAAACTAGAATAAGATACTAGAACATATAATAAAAAATTTCCAGCTCTTAACCAAAAAAGACGTTGAAATATTTTCATATGTTAAGCAGCATCCAAATTACAAGCAACTGAATATCACRATTAAGAAAATTAAAGGATTTAGGTATCAGTATCAAGCTTCTAAAGATACTGAAGTTCAGTATCTACAGTGCTTGCCTAGTGATCATGAGGTCCTGGGTTTGAACCCCATCACCACAAGGAAAAGAAAGTAAGCTCAAAATAGACTATTTTGGGTTCATTATATCCAATGTAATTAGCAATATCACAACATAAAATATATAGTATTATACTGAAAATAAGTGTTTGGATTTGATTAAGCTCAATTGGATCATTAACTAAAATGTTAGATAATCATTATTACAACTRTTTTTTGTAGACTATAGACTTCATTTAAATAGATAAATGTAAAAACTACCTACCAGTTCTATCCTGCTGAGGTGTAATACAGGGTGTTCTGTTAGATTTCAATTTATTCAGTGCTCCATTAACAAAATCTAAAATGCAAGATGTAATCATATAATTAAAATTTAACAGCTATCAGCCTTTCACCAAGTCTTAGAGATACTTGTGATCTTTTAACATTGAACTTTTATATCAACTTATAAAAACATTGAAATTATTCTCATTTAAAAAGAATGATTTCAACATAGGAAAAACTGGACAGCAGGAATAGATGAAAGAAAAAATATAAAAACATATCATAAACAGTATAAGCAAAAGAACAAGTATCTGAAAACAACAAATCACTAAGTTTGACTAAAGTTTAGGTAGTATAAAAGAGAGACATGCTAGAGCAATCCCATGAAAGACAGCTACTAAAATTTAAGCTGTAAATATTAGTATTATCAAGGAGAGTTTTTTAAAGATGTGTGAGATACTTGACTTTAGCAATAAGAGGGTGAATTCAAGGAGGAGGCTCAAAGTCTAAGGAAATTCTTAGTTAGATGCAGTAAAGAATGAACATTAGATGCAAAGAATGAWCCTTAGAATTTGAAAAATGTGAATAGAGATGGTGAAGTAATAACAGTTATGAGCCCAGGGTTTAAAGCCTGAGAGTCTAAGGAATGGTRATGGTGCTAGTGTTTTATTTATTTGTTTGTTGTAGGTGGGCACACAATCTTTATTTCATTTTTATGTGGTGCTGAGGATCGAACCCAGTGCCTCATGTGTGCTAGGCGAGCGCTCTACCACTAAGCCAAACCCCAGCACCCCCCCCATTAATACCTTTATTTAATTTATTTATATGTGGTGTTGAAGATCAAACCCAGGGCCTCACACATGCTAAGGGAGCGCTCTACTGCTGAGCCAGAACCCCAGCCCCTGGTGTTAGTGTTAAAATAGAATTTTTGTTTTTGCTTTGTTTTATTTTTTTTAGAAAATGGAATTCAACAGAATTGGTTTTTTAAGAGCTAGAGATTGTCATTTCCAAAATGCCAAACTTAAAGCACCAAGGAAGAACAGAAGACTGCCTTAGTAGGCCATTAGTAAAGTGGAACTGATGTTTAGAGATCTGGTGGTCATCTATTTAATTGGAAATGAACTGAAACTATAGGAATGGATGAGATCACAAAAGGAAAGATGACAATAAAAATGATCYGTGTCAAAGAAATAGCTATATTTGTAGTAGGACGATTTGAGTTAAACTGTGTGCTCCAGAAATACCACCAGAAGCTAGGCAGAGGTAAGAAAGCATTATCTCCTACAGATATTAAAGGCCTAGCTGACACCTTGGTTGCAGTCTTGCCTCGAGAACTGTGAGATATATTTCTGTTGTTTTAAGTCACTTAAGTTTATGGTACTTTGCTACCATAAACTAGCCTTAGGGAAATAATATAGAAGTCATAAGGGGAATCTACAAGGATGCAAGAAGAAACAAAAGAAAACAATTAACACAAATCAATAGATATAAAAGGAATGATAGTTAACTATTTGTTCTTGTAGTCAAAAGAAAAACTTCCTACCTAAGGTGGTAGAAATTTATTAAGAAGGAGAAATGATCTGTGTCTTCTTAACCAAGAGGTAAGAATCTTACTATCAACCTCACCATAATATAACTTTTGATCTTTTTGATCCTTCCCAATAATATTCATTCATTATTTAGTTTGCACTTCTAACTAAATTCACACCACTTTCCAGTTCAAAGATCTCACACTTATGTTATCGCCACACATATTTTGACCATTCTCCCTGCCTCCAATTTTAAATTAAGTCATAATTTTCAAAAAATACTTTAATCATGTCATTCCTCAATTTATAAATCTTCAATGGTTCACCAACATGCAGGTTAATATTCTAGTTCTTTAGCCTGGCATCAAGCTCACCATAATACCATGCTAATCCATACAATGAATCCTTTATTCAAGTCACACTAGTTTACTTACAGACACAGATATAGATTACATTTCCCCATACAAGTAATTCTTGATAGCACACTTCCTATCTCTTAGAGGATACAAGTTTTCTGATCTTCCACAAAATTCCCCTTGATTCCATCCAGTCTTCAAGAAGGCTTAGTTTGTCTTCCTCTTTGAGGAGTCCCWTGATCCTTATGACCCAAAGAACTTTTCTCCTTTGAAGACATTTTACATTTTTGCTAAAGATCTAGTATTTAATATTAGAGTGTATTGTCACTTTAACTTTTCTCATGCATATGTCATGTTTTTCCAACTATGCTATAAGCATCAGAAAGACACATATCATAGCTTATGCTTCTTGATGTTCAAATACATTTTAGATAAAAGAAAATCATTTAGATAAAAGTAAATCACAGTACTCCTCCCTAAAATGAGACTGACACTTACTTCCAACACTTTGTCTTCGCCTTTTCTTATATTCACCAGGAGTTTCATATTCACCCTCTTCAAAGCCTTCCAGTGATGGAGTAGCACAGAGACCATCAATGCCCAACATAGCTGGTATCTTTTCCAGGATAAAACCTGGTACACGCCCTAAATGAAAATGTTCATAAGACAATTATTATTCTTTCTTCACTCCCTGCCCCAAATATATAGATAATAATAAACCAGTTTTCTAATAGCTGTCTTCATGATTCACTTGAAAAAAGTTGGGATCTCACTTAAATAAATCCTATTAATAACAACTGTATCTTACCAATATCTGATGCATAATCAATAAGGGTTTGTACTACTGCAGCCTGCAATCTCAGTCTTTTTTCTGTGTTAGCAGACATCTTTTCATGTCCTTCACTTGTCTGGAGAAGATTTGGTGCAAATATTACTGCCAGATTGCTACTATCCATCTTATTCTCCCTGGATCTTAAATGATAAAAGGTTTATTAGATGGGTAAAAAGATAAAAGTTCAGAAAGTTAAAATAACATATTGAGCACATTTTGAAGACTTCTTACTTTATCAGTCACACACAAGTCAAAATAGTTACCCCTAATCTATTCATCAACAAAATTGGCTTGAACATAATTTAAAAAAACAAAAGCAAAAAAGGACTGATGGTATAGTTCAGTGGTCAATGGTAGAGTGCTAGCTAGCTTACTACCATGTTCAAGGTCCTGAGCTCAATCTCTAGCATCACAGAAATAAAACAACAACAATAACAAAAAACTCATAAGTACCCAAAAATACACAGCCTCTGTATATTTAAATATATATCAAAAAATCATGCTAATCAGAGTTCACACTTTACTTCTCCACACAAATTAAACATGTTTATCTAATTTTCAAAGCTACACATAGAAAACTGGAAGTATTAGGAAGTGACAAGTATGTGTAAAATAATGGACTCAATGACAGCAAGGAAAGGGGGAAATTTACAAAGCAAATCATAAATAYTTTAAAACATACTAATCAGAAGCCATTTGAGTAGAATAAGTGGATTATGGGGAGGTTGAAGAGAAGGGAAAGGGAAGGTACTGGGGAATGAATCTAATCAAATTATGTTATGTGCATGTATAAATATGCTATAATGAACCCCACCATTATGCATAATTATAATGTACCAATAAAAAATTTTTTTTTAATTTTTTAAAGACTTTTAAAAAAAGCCATTCAGAGGACAATGATTCTTATAAAGACCAATAAGCCATCAAAGTACTCATAATGACTTAAGACAGTAAGAAAATAAATAACTTGGCACACTTTCTTACATTAAAAAGGGTCTACTTTTTATAGTAAGGACTTTTTTTTTTTAGAAAAATTTCCATTCTAAATGAAATTTATTATCTACAAGGGTAAATCTTTAGGTAGTTGAGAAATTAAGCAATCATTTCACAAAACTTTTAATTACCACTTACCTTAGAGAAACATTCCTGAGAAAGTTAAAGAAGTATCTTAATATATCAATTGTATGATCAGCCATAAGACAGGAGAGCAACAGTGTAGCTTTATTCTTCTCCTCTGTTCCTAACTGTTGAGCTTTGAAAAGCGCTTCATGCAAATCAACAGGGAGAATTGGCTCTGGCAATTCCCTAAAGAACTGCTTAAGAAGTCCTGCAATGTCACAAGGAAGTGCAGAAGACAGGCAACCTTCACCATGATCCAGTTTATTCTGAAATAAATGAATAATCTTGAGCATTTTGGATGCTTTTATTGCAGATTATCTAAATAAAGAGCTTTCTTTTGGAAATTTTCTTAATCTTTAAACTTTTAAAGCACTATATAAATGACACAATTTCTTTTGAGAAAAAAAGATTATTTTGCTGGGAAAAAAGCTATTTGAATTTAATTCTAATCAATTATTTATATTTCTAGATGTTTCAATAATAAAAACTAAATCAGAAAAATGATACAAAATGATACTTTTCATAAGTTATAGTTCAAGAACATGCTCACCTTTAGTGCCTTGAGACGAATAACAGATCCTGATTTCCTAAAAAGTCCTTCTGTCTGAATATGCTCTTGTAAAGATGTGCAGGCATCAACAAGAAAGCTGAAAGAGATTTTTTAAGTGACCAGACCCTATTCTCCTGCCAAAACACATGAGTGGTCTGAGTATTCTGCCACTTTCAGAAACTGTAATGTCACAAAYCTCTTTAATTCTTACAATAAAAACTTTTAGTTGTCCTCCTTCCTTCCTAATTTTTTTTCTCTAAGGCTCATCTTCTTATGCTAACTTCAATGTGCCTGCTCAATTCTACATTCTCTTCAATTTTATTCCATTTCTGTGCTTCCCTTCAGAGCATAGACTTGTCTTACTTATTGCCTCTACTTCTACTTGACCCTCTCCAGATTGTTATCCTCATTACTCTAATGAAACAGCTCTCATCAAGGTCACCAATGCCCTTTGCTTTGCTAAATACATGTCAATTCATTGTGCTCATTTTGCTTAACCCTTCGGCATTTGAAACATCTGACCATCCCTGCTCAAAAATACTTTTTTCAGGACTCTACTAGTTTTCCTGCTGTCTCCCTATAACTCCTCCTCAAATTCTTTTTCTGGCTCCTCTTCTTTTATTAGACCTCTTTATGGTGGAATGACATATGGATGACTAAGGTCATCTTTTTTTATCTATTATCTCCACGGTGATCTTTAAAGCATACATAGATTTAAATATCCATCATCTACTACATTAGCCCAAAAAATAAGATAAAGTTTTTCTCACCCCAACATTGTTCCTCAAAAAAGTAGGATATATCCCAGTCCTTGTAATTCTTCTCATATTAAGGGGTGGATGTTCAATTTTTAAATTTTGAACAATAAACTTAATGTTAATGTTAAATACTTAGATATTCAACAGCTGGTACCAACAAATAAAAATGTATTCCAGCTACATACAACTGAGATACTTGTATTGATGCATAGTGGTGAATGTCAATCCTGCTTATACAGGGTAATTGACAGATAGTTGGTGTTTGTTTTTTAAAGGACGTTAAGAAATTACAACAAAGATTTAGTCATTATTCTGTGGATGTGACTTTGCAATTCCAAATTTTGAAAATTAATATAGGTTTTCATTTCAGGAAAATGAAGTCTTCTATACATAATGTGAAAAGCAAAACAGATAAGTGGTTACCTTACACTATGAATCAATATCTAAGGACAAATGAAGAAAAAATTGTATTAGGGCAGTAAGGGGTTCAATAAATGCTCTTGCATGATGCATCAATTAACACCTAAATTATTGGACTAAAGTAGACAAAATGAACCCTACTTTGTATAAAGGGAAAATAATTAAAGAGAAAAGATATGCCTTTTAAAACTATTGTCTTAAAACAAACACTATTTTTTTTGATGTAGCTAGTCCAAAATGTTACTTACAAATAGTAAGTGGCATAGAAAAGCTGAAGTGTTATATAATATATATTCGCAAATACCTCYATTTTAAATATTTGTATCCAACATCTCTTAAATAAAAAATCTAAAAATTAATACTGAATTGGCAATTTAGTATAGTATTTAATCAGAGAGCTGTGACAAAAGAACTGGTGTAAATCTAAAAATTAAGCAGACAAAAATAAGTTTATTTCTAACATTTATTCATTAATGGACATTAAAATTCAATCCTGGAAATGAGCACAAATTACATTTAAATTATGTAAAAGCTCTCTCAATGTTGAGAGATGGAATCTTTTGCTGATTTAAAACATATGTGTGTCAATCAACTATTTTCAAGCCCTCTATCTAAAACCAGTTTGAAATATTTATTCTCCTTTTCAAACTGCTTACCTTGGAATGTGTCCATATTCTGGTACAACGGAATGGGGCAATGCATTAAAAGGTACTCCAAATATTTTCCCCTAAAAAGACAAATCCAGTTACACTAACACAAATGCTAGGCATAAAAAAAAAAAAAAAAAAAAATGTTCTTCATCAGTGGGTAAATTAAAAACTTTAGGAACAAGAAAATGCATTCTTATATTACTATATATACCTGAGCTTTTGGTAAAAAAAAAAAAAAGTTATTATTAGACATAATGCTAGACATTTGGGAGTACAAAGATAGTCAAGATAAAGACATAACAATCTAGCAAATTAAGTAATTAGAAAATTAAGAGACTTATGAAAAATCAATCCAGTTAGAGCTTAGTAAGGAAATTCTTAAAACAAATTTGGCCCAAACATTAACATTTCCCAAAAAAATACTACAGATTCCTTCAGCAATCTTATAAATACTGACCTTATTTATACTTTCCTTTGGTCATTTTATAAAAAGGTGACTTATAAACATTAACTTACATAAAGGGCTAACTAAGTCAGTTGATATGTAAACAGCTCTTAAAACATATTAGTAGTTATATTTACTGGCCCATGCTCACTGGTACAGTGAAAATGCCAGGCTCTGAGTTTCACCCTTGTCAGAGGGGTGGTGGTGGTTACTTTTAGACCTCTTTTCCACACTCTATAGAAACTGCTTTTCAAACTATGTCCTGAGGTATACAAGGCTGCACTTTGGCAAATATTTAAGTTAAATTTCATCTAACTATCTTGAAACTCATTTTTTTAAAATGCACAAATTTTAATACACTGAGGAATCCGAAGAGTAAACTTGTGTATTGGTAAACTTAAATGTTTTTGCACATCCAAAAGCAAATAAAGCATCTGCCACTGTTTTTGTACCTGCATTCCAACTTCTTAAAAAAACGTGTCATTGATTAAGAAGTGTGTGGCTTTGCCCTGAGTTCTTAGTACCTCAAAACCAAATAAATAAATAAATAGCCAATATCTGGAGACATTTTTGGTTGTCATAAGTGAAGTAAGCTACTGGTAGTCTACTGGGTAGAAGCCAGAGATGCTATTAAATCCATTCCTTTTCCCTGACAATTATAGTCTAACATTTCAATAATGATGAAGTTGGAAAACGCTGCAACTTTCTCTCAATGACCAAAAGATCCTGAAAAGAATTAAGAAAGCTCTTTATTTAAATATCAATAGGTGACCACATGGACAGAGTTAGACACACCTAACAATATCACTTTTGAGCCAAAGAGTGAAAGTCTTATATATGATCTGGTAACTGGTCACGGTACCAGGTGTGACCACCCATTTTTAACCTAAATCGTTTTTCCAGAACTTACCCCTACTTCCGTGGCTGCTGTTTCTTGTCTCCTGCGGTCACACTGCCCACGTCCACCCTTGACCTTAATGCCGTAAACAGCCCGAAGCTGCTGCAACAAGGCCAATCTGACCAGCCTCTTATCCCACATCCCGGATACGTCGCCCACTCTTTGAGGCAGGTTCCTGATTCTCGTTCGCCACCAAGTCTTCCAATTTCCAAACACTCTCAGGTTTGAGCTCCGCTCCGCAGCCTTCMGGCCACCTTTGGCACTCCTCCAGCCCTGGGCCCCGGCCACTTCCACGGCTTTTCCTCGATCCTCTATCCACTTACACAAACGCTCTTCAACTGGCCTCTTGATCCAGCCACACTTCACTCTTCTTTCACTTACACCTACCTTCTTTCTGATTACCAAATCCCTTCCGCTACTTACACGGACCTCCCTTCTTTCTCCCTTGATCCTTTCACTTCCTCGCACCAACGCCTGTTATCAGCTTCTCACCGCTTCCGGTCACTTGCAATGATCCCCTTTCCTCCAAACTTCACTCTTCCCACTCCAGCTCTCTTGGATAATGTAAAGAAGACCGTTCCCCTAGCCACTCCAGCCCAGGCTGACACTGCAGGGCGTTTGAGTCTCAGYTCCCGCGACCCCCTCCCCAGCCCAGCCGCCGGACCAGCCGGCTGCTCAGGCTCTTTTCCAGTCCCGGTCCCCGCCCGGGCTGGTCGCCGCCGTCACCCCGTTTCACAGGCTTCTCCTTCTCCCCATCAGCCTTCATGAAGCTCCCGGCCTGCACATCCCGGAGTGCAGACTATAACCAAGCAGCTCTCCCCATGCCTTCAAGCCGCCGCGGCCGTCACACCCGCAGTTCCAGACTCAGCTCAAATGGCAGCGCCAAACAGTGCTCCTCTCTGATTGGCCCACTCTGCTTTTCAAAATCAGGCCCTCCGAGGGTGGCCAGAAGCTGCCTGTCTAGGGAGGTTGGGAGAGGAGAGATCGAGATGGGTGTGGCAGGCAAAACTAAAAAACAAAACAAAACAAAAAAACCCGAGAATTTTACTTGCTCCTTTATTGTCATATGTTTTTGAAGAAAACTTCCATTTAAAGTGTGTTGAGTATACCAGGCCTGCTTCCGAGATAATATATTCGGGGATATGCACTAGACACCTCATTATCTTGCCTTAGACCTTGGTTGAAGCTGAAAGCCCTCTGRCGGCGAAAACCGATTCTACGGAGCCCGAGGTGAGACAATTTGAGTCAGGATATACAAACTCTGGTTTCAGTAACCCTGATCTACCGTTATTGGTGAGAAGTCAGGCTATGGAAATAGGTTTCTTTTTGGCGGTAATGTTTAGGTCTGCGGGCGGATGCTGCTGCAGAAGCTTCATTCTGGGGGGGTTGGATTTAGAAGACCCGGAGGACCTCCAACCCTGCCCGCGACCACTCCCAACTCCGACATTGTTGAAATGCGGCTCCTGTCTCCAACCYGCCTTTCCATTCTCTAACACCAGCAATCCCTTCGGGTTGATCTGTTTACTGGGATGTAATTCTCTTAGGGCGGGAAACTTGGTATACATTTACTACTGCCCCACCTCACTGTGCACACCTAAAAGAGCAGCGACAGAACTCATGCACTAATTGTATCCCCATTAGTTAATAGTGTCAGGGGCTAAATAAATGAATATTTGCCCAGCGAATTAATTTAAGTAGAGAAATTTTTCTTGGAATCATTTTGCTCCTTTTGGAGTCCAAGTCCTTAGCTATTCTACTCTTCCCCATCTAAAGAAAAGTCTGTTGAGTGAAGAGAAAAGAACAAAAGAGAAATTAAGCATTTTGTGTTATTTTTACAGTTGTTTATTGAGCGTACATTATGTTATAGGATGATGAGCAAAAGTAGATGCAGGTTCTGGGCTGTGGCAGAGTACTTGCCTTGCACATGTGAGGCACTGATATTGTGTCCATGTATAACTAAAAAATATGTTTTTTAAAAAAAGTAGATTCAGGTTCAGCCCTTGAAGAGAAAAGGGAAATTTGGGGTCTTTATCAATATACTAAGGAAAGAAACATGATTCTATGATAGCGCATATAAAAGATACCTGGTGTGGGAGAGCAACATATTAATGATTAACTGACCAGAAGAATCAACAGAAATTAACTTGGTGAAAAGTGAAGGTGAGATAGCTAAGTAGAACCAGCTTTAGGAGGCAAATTCCTGCAGAAATATCGTTTTGACAAGAAATGTGCAAGAGAGATGAAATTGAACCTATTTCTGGTCTTTTCTTGCTTCATATGTAACTTTAAAAAAATAACTTGTGATATGTTTAGCCTCATCCCTTCTCCAAACTTCATAGAGTTCTGGGTTTTAGATGGCTCAGATTTCCTGTTCTTGATTGTTAGGTGCCTTTTTCTTATCTATGTCTGAATGCTTTTTTCCTTTAAACACCTTTATTCAGATGTAATTCGTGTAATTTTTTATTCAGATGTAATTCGTGTAATTTTTTTTTCAATTTAAGTATGCAATTCGATGGTATTTAGTATATTCACAGAGTTGTGTAATCATTAGCAAGATCTAAGTTTAAAGCACTGTCACTACCCAAAGAGAACACCTGTACTTTTGACAGTCACTCAGCACAGTCACTCTGCTTTTCAACACCCACCCCCACCCCCCCCCTCCTCCCAGATATGGTCAAATACTTATTGACTTCTTTCTGTAAACTTTCCACTCAATGGACTTTTTACATAGATTGAATCATGTAGTGTGTAATCTTTTGTGACTGACTTCTTTCATTTAATTATAATGTTTTCAAGGTTCATCTATCTTGTAGTTATGTGTACTTTTTAAAAGTTAACCCTTTTGATTTTGTTTGGTATTTTTTTGTGTTCTTTTCTCTTATGATGAAAATATTGGTTCACACTGATATTAACATAGTTGCTTATTTGCTTCATCTAGCTCTAATTATCTTATTTTATATATATATATATATATATATATAGAGAGAGAGAGAGAGAGAGAGAGAGAGAGAGAGAGAAAGAAAACAGAATAACAGTAGAGCAAAGAAAAACTAAAACATGAATAAGAGTAATGACATTGCTAAAATAGGACTGATAAATAATGTTTTAAGTTTCATGTGTGGCTTTTTTTCTTTACCTGTATCCCACTGGGATATATAGTCAAGATACTATGTTTTAAACAAACTGGACTTAGTTATTCTCTTGCCTTATATATGAATGTATTGGTAGGAGATGTGGGTTATTTCTAGTCTTCTGCTATAATAATAAAAGATTCTCTGTGCATGTAGAATATGCCTTTGCCAGTGTGTGTTTAACAGTTTACCACMAGTGGGATTGCTAAGTCAAAGGATAATAGAACATGTCATTTTATTTACTATTGCCAAATTCCCCTTTATAATGCTTGTGCAATTTTGTATTCACATCAGCGATGTATAAGAGTTACTGTTTCCTCATGTCTTTTCCAATAGAGTGGATGGTCAGACTCCTAAATTTTTGCTAATTTGACAGATGAGAGATGGTGTTTCAGTATAGTTTAGCATTTATCTTATTATGATGATGTAAAGCATTTTTGCAAATRGTACATACATACAATGATGTATTATGAAGCAGTTAAGGAATATGGAAGATATACCACTAAGAAGTCAGTTGGAAAAAGTAATGCACGAAACAATGTATAATATTCTAACTTTGGGGTAAAGGAAATTAGAAATATACATGGGGATACTTCTTTATAATTTCAAAAATAAGCAGTGGAAAAGTAAATAAAATCTAATAAAAGTGGTAGCAAGTAAGAAGAGTAGAATAAGTGAAGGAGAGGATAAGAATAGAAGCTAGACTTCTTTGAATAGTTCTTGTTTTGTAGCTTGACATTAAAAGCCTGTAACTTGGGGTTTTTTTGTTTGTTTTGTTCTTATACCAGGAATTGAATCTAGGAATGCTTAACTACTGAGCCAYATCACCAGTACCGCCCCCCACCACCACCTTTTTTAAAATTTTGAGACAGTGTCTCCCTAAGTCCTTAGGGACTAGATAAATTGCTGAGGCTGGCTTTAAGCTTGCAATCCTCAACTTCAGCCTATGGAACTGCTGGGATTACAGGAGTGTGCCACCACACCCAGCCTGTAAATGCTTAACATGTTTAAAATACAAAATAAAATGAGAAAGTAACTCCTAAAATGCAAAACAAACAAATAAATGAACTAATCTTTTAATCTATTTAAGGGCTATTTGCATTTCTTTTTCTTTTCTATTGAGATGACCTTTTTTTAAAAAAAAAATAGAAAATTTGTATTAACTCTGTGATATAGGTTATACATTGTCGGGTGGGAGGGCATTTTGCTTTGCTTTTTTCTCTTTGTCAAATTTGTAGTTAACTAGTTTCTTTCCTTAATGCTTCTAGATTCTAGTCAGTTTTAAAGCAATTCACTCCTGTGAATGCTTGTACTAGTTTTTCTATTCTAGGTTTTCCTGGTACTGTTAGGTTTTGTGTTTTTGTTGTTGGTGTTGTTTGGTTTTTGTTTGTTTTTTGTTCTCTGATCTCTTTGGAATTTATCCATTTTAGAAAGTAAAGAATGGATCAAATTTTGGGCTGGGGATGTGGCTCAAATGGTAGTGTGTTCGCCTAGCATGCGTGAGGTACTGGGTTCAATTCTCAGCACCACATAAAAATAAAATAAAGATATTATGTYCACCTAAARCTAAAAAATAAATATCTCAAAAAAAAGAACGGATCAAATTTTATCTTTTTCCATATGGCTCTCCATTCCTGGACATGTTACTTTAAAAGTGGCTAAACGTTATTATTGAAACTCTTATTGGAGTTCCTTGAATAGGAAAAGACAAAACATCTTTAAGTATTAGAGTGTGCTTTAGTTGGTACCATTAGATGGCACACATCATTTTCTTTTCTATGAGTCAACCAATGAATTAGCCTGCAAAGGACCTTCCTGAACCTTTTTCCTGCATTCCTGCTTGAAGTAAGATGATTTGTGTAGCTTTCAAATTAGGTCCAGAGTTTTCTTCTGTGAATAAAAATGATTGTTCCTGGAATCACTGTCTCCAGAACTTGGCACTTCCCACAGACATGTGATTCCATTTATTAATAAAATGGACATATGTGGAGAGTGCTATTGTTCGGATGT